ACAGATGTTAAACAACTGAGTGTCATTTACTCGTATTGGCTAAACTGCGAAAAATTGGAGAACTTACATATCTCCCCAAATTTCGACTCTTCACAACCATAAATAGAATCTGTGTTTTGGCCGATTCCACCAGTAAATTTCATTCCACTCAAAATCTAATAATTCTCTTCTCACGATTTATTAATAATTGTTAATTTAAATTCCCATTAATTAAAATATAGTTTATTCAACTGCCTCTGGTCGGTTTTACAATTTCTTCCATCTTTCAACACAGACATTGACAACCTTCGGCCTTCTGTCAAAAGGTTCATCTCGCTCTTTATTCCATGACCACCATTTTGTGCAATCATCAATGTTTTTAAATAATTTTTAATCTGTTTTTAACTTGTTCTTGTCATATTTTATATAATTTTGACCATTGTACCATCTATCCAGCTCTCACCATGTTACTGGACGTTTCCCTCATCCTATACGTAAACAACAATTAGCAACATCCTCACATACTACTGTAAGTTGAGTCAATTTAAATTCATTTTACACTTTTGTTGCTACTGTTCTCATTGTAATTGCAGCTCCTGATGATGATGGCAAAGTCCATTGAAAGCTAGAGAGAATTAAAAAAGTATCCAACAAAAGGCGGAAGCTTTAATTTTTCACCTATATATATATATATATATATATATATATATATATATATATATATTTATCTGCTTGTGTTATGTACACAACAATTTAGTTCTCTATACGACGCATAGTGATGTACATAGTTACAACACACGTAACATGCATAAGTTAGTTATTCCTAAACATCGTCGGCAAAGAACTAGAAACGGTTCTAACTACTATGGAATCCACTTCTATAATGTTCTTCCTAACGCATTCAGAATGTCTGGCACCGTCTCATTTAGGAACAAAATTAAAGCGAACCTTTTACAACTTTAAAGAATTTTTAAATAATAACTTTTCGTATCTCTAATGTTGGTGTTGCAGTGTGCTTGTTTACTTGTACTCTGTTTGTTAATTTGCTCGGATGTGCTTGTTCCATAGTTTTCTATTTATTTTAAATTCATAATATTGTTTTACAGTTTTTCTGTTAGTGCTGTTTTTTACAATTTTCTGTCCATGTTGTTCTTTTCAGCAAATTTTATTGTTTTGGAATTTTACACTTTCGCATTTTAAATTTTACCACCAATAAAGAAATTAAAGTAAATGATGCCAGCCATACAATAATGATATATCACTTCTCTGATTTTGTAAAATTCGGCAGAGCCTTCACCGAAATTATGTGGAAAAAAAGAATTGCACAACATAACTTATAGAAAGTAGGGACTGGATCATTAATTTTCTTTCCGATTTGAACCCTTCACCTGCTTACGCATGAACAGCCTGTAACTAGGTATACACAACAATCTTTATTGAAATCATTTCATGTCAACCGTTGACAAAATTGAGTCATTTTTAATCCACGCTTCTCGGAATTGACCCAGTTGCACTTGTAAGGAGCTGAAACGATTTTTTTATCTAACCGATTTATCTAACAATTAAAAAACATGCAATAGTTAATTGGCAAGCTTATTTATTCTTATGCAATCGCTGTGGCTTCTGACTGTCAAAAACTTAAAGGACATTTTCAATGTTAATATCTACAGACATACGAACATGGATGAATGAAAGTACCACAATCACAAACCATAGTACTAATTTTATTTGTCTTACCAGCTCGCTACGCGTCAGGATTTATTTAACTTATTATGGCCTCGATATGAATTGTTTGTGATAGATCTTAACACATTGTAGATGTATTGCGTGTTAACAGTAGAGCTTTTCCTGTAAGTTACATAAACTTCGAGGTGTTTATATTTCTGTTTAGACTACCTACAAAACGCTCAGACCCTTTTGTTTTCTAGGAGGACACAAGTTTGGCAAAAAATCACGTTTACACGTGCTGCCTCCTGGGCGGTGGTAACATCAACCCTAAAATCTTAAATGGAAAGGGGGGTCGAGTGACACCTTATTTTAAAGGTCTTTCAATTCCCTTTATAATGATGTAAAATACATGAGCTTCAGTTCAGTAGTTTTGAAGATTTATTGATTTAAAGCTTAAAGTAGACTTTAATAGTTACATCAGATAAGTGTGTACTACTTTCAGAGGAAATTTGACTAAAAGAATTTAATTACGTCAAATTCGTTTATTCATGTCAATAAACACAATTATGTTTACAAGGGTCATGTGGTAGATGGTAACAATCGACCGAGGGTCAGAAAAATATCTTATGCGGTTATAATAAGAGGAAATAGTTAGGTAGTTTTTGCAAAGCAATAAAGAAGTAGGCTTATACCTGGATTAAGTACATGTCTTGTCTAGTGTAATAGGTAGATGGAGGTGATGCTGCCAGAAATGGATCTGTGCGATCAATAAACAAACCACAAGATTGAACTGCCGTGTCCAATGATTTTAGTATTGCCTTTTTTTATTGTCTTACTCTGTTGGGTATATGATGGTGTTTACTAGAACTTTACAGCTTGCTGTGTGCCTTCTTCTACAAGCTTCACCAAATCGAGAGGCTGTTAACCTCATCCCACAAAGTACAGTCCTGTGATTTGGTGACTTGTTCGATCTGCTAAATCTCGTCGTCACTTTTTCTAAGTTTCCCTAAAAATTCTTGCTTAGCAACCTCCAAATCAATGTCGTTCATGTCAGGTTTTTGACAGAATTCGCCATAAAACTATTCATTTTCTTTGGAATTGCTATCCGAATTGTTAGTTATTTTTATATAAGCTTTTTTTGGTTTGAGTTTCTTTTCAAGATTCTTGCGTTTGAGTCTTTGTTCCATCTTAGTGATATGCGAGGTTGGACTAAGCTTAGAACGCAAATGTATTTGGACCACACAGACAGGCCGCTCGGTATTGTGGCTCACTACAGCTGCAGCACATCTTCCATGGTATGACCTATTCTTGCAATAATTTACTCGCTTACCGCAATGTATTTTGCGATTATAGAGTTGAACTGCTCCACACTATTGTTGTCCTCATCATGAATTCGTAATTAAAATTTTCGCATATGACCTTTTATTGTCCATTATCAACCTTGATAAAAAAGGCACTCAAGAACAATCACACCAACAAGAGTACAGCACAACAATTCAACAACACAATATCGACGAACAATAACAAGGGTAGAACAATACTAAATGATCTCTTGCTGAGTACCGGAATAGGAAACGATTTACAGGCTTGCTGATTATTGCTGGACGTGGTCAGGAGCAACATATCGCCGTAAAACATCGATAACAACATTCTGAGATTAATATTTATTCGAGTGTTTATTAGTACTCTTCCACACATATCCTTATATTTTACTATCAGTCAATCAATCAATTCTTTATTCATGTCACAATACATAAAATATGTTTACATATGTCAGTAGATCAAATGAGAATTGCATTAGAATTAAGACAAAGGGAGTGCTAATGATCATAAAAAATTACAAACAAGTACACCAGCACTCATAAAGATATAACGCTAACATAACATATTAAGATTTATAGTTAAAATGTATGTCTTAAAAACTCTTCAAACGTGTAAAATGATTTATTAATAAGAATTTTCTTGATTTGAACTTTAAAATCTTTAAACGGAAGCGATTTTAAGCCGTCTGGAAGTACATTAAAAAATTTGATCGCCCAATAACCAGGTCCATCTTGACATCTTCTCAGTCGCCAATAAGGAGGTACTAGATTGTTCTTATGCCTAGTATTGTGCTCATGGACGCCCCCATGAGTTACATAGTTAGAGTTTCTTTTAACGAATAGTAGATTTTCAAAAATATATAAACAAGGCACAGTAAGGATTCCCAACTTGACAAATGTATCTCTGCAATCGTCCCTGTAGCCCAGACGGCTCACAACCCTAACTGCTCTTCTTTGCAAGGCGAACAGTCTATGGACCCCTGAAGAATGCCCCCAAGCCAGAATGGCATAGGATATGTGTGAATGGCAAATGGCAAAGTAAGCCATTCTCAATATTTCTACAGAAACACAAGAAGACAAACTCCGTAGCACATATATACCTTTGGTGGCCTCTCCAGCAACACTGTCAATGTGAAGGCCCCATTGCAATCTTGAATCCAAAGTAACCCCCAAAAATTTGGCTTCACCAACCAAATCACTGTCTCCAGGCAGGCTTCGCATAGAGAACACACATTCTCTTTGTCTTATCTTTATTTAGCAACAGCTTATTGGAGCAAAACCACAGCTCAGCCTCATCCTGCGCAGCCAGAGACTGTGCCATTGAGCGCTCAAAACTGTTAGCGGTGTGAGAGACGGTGGTATCATCCGCGAAGATGAGTAAAGTTTGCCATATTGTTATTGAGAGGTAAATCATTTATGTAAATTAAAAAAAGAATTGGGCCCAAGATGGAGCCCTGTGGGACGCCAATATTAACACTTCGCTCCGCCGATGACACTCCATCGCATCTCACCACCTGAGATCTATTACTAAGGTAAGACTCAATTAGTTTAACGGAATCATAACTAAAGTTGTAAGCAAGGAGCTTTTTTAAAAGGATGTCATGGCTCACACAATCAAATGCCTTACTAAGATCGCAGAAAAGAACCGTGTTATACCCTCCTCCATGGAAAGCATCAATTATAGAAGAAATCAGGTTAAGTACACCCATAACAGTGCTCTTACCCTGGCGAAAACCAAACTGATATTGTGAAAACAATTCATTCGCCTCAAAAAAGGTTACCAGTCTCAAAGCCATACATTTTTCAAAGATCTTAGAGATAACTTGACATAGGTCTGTAGTTCTCTGGTGAATCAACATTGCCGTTCTTAAAAATAGGTGTGACACTAGCTCTCTTTAGAACAGTTGGAAAAATGTTTTCTCTAAGACAAATATTAATCAGTCGTGTTAGAGGGATCAAAATTATGTTCTTTATAAATTTTACAATTATTAAATTGAAACCAAAAATATCTTTACTGTTTTTATTTTTGAGATTATCTATTACATCGCGAACCTCGTTAAATGTGACTTCAGAAAAAGAAAACAGAGGTGCCGGTACCACGAAATCAATATTATTAACAGGATCTAAATGTACATCAGGGATGTGATTTACTATATTACCTGCTATGTTACAAAAAAAATTATTAAAGCCATCAGGTGACAGGTCACTGCTCCCAGGGCACTTATTACCCTTACCTCTTTTTTTGTTAATGATATCCCACACGGTTTTAGCAGGATTACTTGAGCTCTTTACAAGGTTGTCATTAGCATTTATCTTAGCTTTTCTTATTTTATTTCTATATAGATTTTTGTAGTTTTTATAATACTGGTCACTCACAAAACCATACTGCCCTTTCAGCTCTCTCAAAAACCTCAAATGTTCCCTCATTGCCCTTAGTTCGGTATTAAATCAGGAAATATTATTGCCCTGGTCGGATCTTACCACATAACTTGTCTTTGGAAAAGAGTATGTATAGGCTTTTGAAGAATATCCATGAAGTGGCTAAACTTTTGTTCACCGCTGGTACTATCAACAGTAATGAAATCCCAAGATATCTCCGACAACCTACTGTGTAACATAAACAAACCTCTTTGTGTTACTGGTCTATACATTTTTTTATTTTGAGTAAAACCTGTGGTTTCACAACCAAGAAATTTAACCAGCTGACCCCTATTCCAATATCACATACCTGAGAGCCACACAGCTCCATCGCACTACTAAGGAAAACATTGTCAAGACAGGAGTCCTCACGAGTTGGTTCAAAGATTGTTCTTTCTAAGCCAAAGCTAGCGAGAAGGTCACACAATTTACTTGTATTAACATCTAATGTGTTAAAACTTACATTGAAATCCCCAGCAAGAATAATTTGCCTATTCGTACTCAATTGTGTTAATATTCCCTCCATTGATTCCAAGAAGGTATCAAAGTATATGCAGTAAATAAAATGCCTTATTGCAAGAAAACCGTGGGTGATAGTAAAAATCCAATGCTATTTCCAGCTTTTTGGGAACGTTTTACGTAATAACCACCTTGTTTTGTCACAAAATATTATTTCAATTTTGTTCACCAGTGTTATTTGCTCACAAGTCCTCACTATGCACCTATACACTGCCGTTTCCTTCCAGATATGGCATACAAATTACAGCTAAGACCTCCATAATGACATCTCTGAAACAGATGTTAAATCGCTTCAGAGCTAAACATTGATAGCTGAAGCATCATGACGTGTAAGCAACACGTACAGCTACGCAACGAAATCAAGCGGAATCGCACAGCAACCCTCTGTTGCGTGATTCAGTAGACTACACAGTCGAGCAAGTTCGCAAACATTCCATACCGCGCCTCGCACTGTGATCAAAATTAAATTGTAAATTCAGGCCAGCCAAAATTATTTCAGTATACAAAACCGATCAAACGCATTTTTTGGAGTTACAAAATGATTCGAGTAATCAAAGCAATAATGCTTAAGCTATTTAAAATGATTTACTTCTTTTCTTTGCTCTATTTCTTCCTTCCTTCTTTCCCTTTTCCCCTTAAACATGTTTGGTATCTGGGTAGCCAGACCTGACAGACTAACAGACCGACGAGACTTTTAACTAAGAGCAAAGGTCCACCGGACCGCTCTGACGAATAATGACGAATAGTAGTTACGCAACGAGTACATAACAGCTACTGCTGAGTTGACATCTTATAGAAAAACCTACATAATTTCAAAAGATGATGAAAAACTGAAAACGGGTATTGCGGATTGCAGGTTACAGGGGTGGGATTGATACCAATGAATCTTTGGAATACCAAATGTAGACGTTATATTATTAAGAAGCTTTAACCAACGATTCTGAAAGCGGCAATACTACGCGCTACTGCAATCAATAACACTGATCAACAGCCAAAAAATATCTTAAATAAAATCAACAAAATATTACTATTCTTAATGTGCTAAAACCGGAATGAAACTTATTTTTTCAATATTAGTTCAAGTTTTAGAGATACGGTAATTATATGTGTTCCTGCTGTGACAGTGTTAATATACTGTAATTCACAAGAATGCACGTGCTACATTTTTCTATTCGGCAAGGAAAGATGATGTAATCGGCATGATTGTGTTACGTTATACATACGTGTACATTATATTGTCTTATATTAGCCATTTTTTTCCTCAGTTGGCTGACAGCGTTCATGCAAGATGTCTCGAAAGTGTGTAAACAATCCAGATCAGTTTTGTTACGTGTCTGGTGATGTGACTTTTGCGTCTCAGAGACGGTCTATTACTCCACTAATAACAGAGGCATATCAGCTTTATTTCGGTTGTAAACTAGGTGATCAAGACAAACAGTGGGCACCCCACATCCGCTGTAATACATGTGCTTCAAGTCTGAGGAGCTGGTAAAATGGCAAAAAACGGTCTATACGCTTTGCTGTCCCAATGGTTTGGAGAGAGCCTAAAAAATCATATTAATGATTGTTACTTTTGCATGGTACCTTGTGTTGGACAAGCCACAGGTATGTCCAAGAAAAAAAAAATCGGTTATTAACTACCCAAACATACCATCTGCGATGAGACCTGTGACTCACAGTGACGAAAATCCAATTCCAAAACCTCCAGAATCCTACACTTGTGAATCAGAAAACGAATCAGATCATGGCGATCGAGTGATTCGTCAGGAAGAAGATATGCCATCAACGTCAAGAGATCCTGATTTTATACCGAGCACGTCATGCCACCAACCGCACAAAATAACACAGTCAGAATTAAGGAGAGATTTAGAACTTCCAAAATGTAAGGCAGAGTTACTTGGATCAAGACTGCAGCAGTGGAACTTGTTAGAAGACGATGTTTCGGTATGTGTTTTTCGTAAACGCCACAAAGACTTAGAACCATTTTTCAATATGGAGAATAACTTGGTTTTCTGCAGTAACATTAACGGCTTACTGGCGGCTTTAAATATAAACTATAACCCAGAAGAATGGAGATTGTTTATAGACAGTTCAACATTGAGTTTAAAGGCAGTGTTATTGCATATTGGAAATATTTTACCATCTCTTCCTGTAGGGTATGCAGTTCACATGAAAGAATCATATGACAATATGAAGTACCTATTGACATGCATAAAATACGATGAGCACCAATGGCATATTTGTGGCGATTTGAAAGTTGTTGCACTTTTACTTGGGCTGTAGCTATTCTACACAAAGTTTTGCTGTTTTGTGTGAATGGGACAGTCGGGCAAAGGCACTTCATTACACCAGACAAAACTGGCCTGTTCGTCAATTCCTAGAGCCAGGTCAAAAAAATGTACAGCATATGCCATTAGTAGATTCGAAAATAAATTTATTACCACCACTGCATATCAAGTTGGGCCTAATGAAAAACTTTGTCAAGGCATTCGATAGAGATGGGTCAGCTTTTCAATACCTGCGTCAGAAATTTCCAAGACTAAGTGAGGCAAAGGTTAAAGAAGGTATTTTTATTGAGCCACAGATTCGAAATATTTTGAAAGATACACAGTTGGAAAACACTTTAACAGGTATTGAAAAAAGCTGTTTGGAATGATTTCCGTCTGGTGGTCACTAATTTCTTGGGAAATAGAAAAGCTGACAACTATAAAACCCTTGTCAAAAATATGCTGTCATCGTATCAAAAGATGGGCTGTAATATGTCTCTTAAGATACATTTCCTACACTCACACCAGGACTTTTTTCCTGACAATTGCGGAGCCGTAAGTGATGAGCACGGCGAACGTTTTCATCAGGATATTTCAACAATGGAAAAAAGGTACCAGGGAAAGTGGAATCCTTCCATGCTTGCAGACTACTGTTGGACTCTTGGTAGAGATGCCCCAGAAACGATCCATAAAAGAACAGTAAAAAGACAGCGCATATAGTGATTCTTATAAGTATATGAATCTTGTTACTTTTTTTAATATATCCTTAAAAATAAAAAGTTTTTTTTCTAAACCGCAACTAATTTTTTTATTTCATTGTCATTTTTGGATTCAGCGCCCCAAAATTAACAAAGAAGTGCACTTTTCCCACAAGATACAATTAAAAAACTAAAATTTGTTGTCCAGTGTAATAAGTGATCAATAGTTGACAGCTATGTCGCTACAATTTGAAAGTGAATTTTGCACGAATTTGAAAGGAAAAATACCTGCAAAGCATTTATCGAATCAGGAATCAATTTATCGCAATATTCGACAGTTTTCCATTGCGCAACCGAGTGACAAAAATGATGTATGATAAAGTCATGTTCGTACGCCTCCCGGTTTGAATTCCTATCATAATAGATCTATGCATTCCAATCAATGTGTTATATAACGTTTTAAATCGGCGTATTATCAGAATCAATTAGCTACCTGGTGTAAATTAGATAGCTGACAAAAATGCGTTGCTGTTAAACGAATAATCAACCGAATCGCTATTAACTAAAATAAATCTAGAACGAGGCCAATCAATGTAAGAAAAGCAAATGTATTTTGGGCTAATTGGAAAGTAGAAGATTCGTCAGTAGCACGTAATATCAGGAAGTTGATCGATAAAGGCGTTCAGAAATAAAATATATTCGAAAAGTAACAGGCTGTTCTCTGAAAATGAGATTAATAGCGATCACCAACTAAACACTAGAATGCAATTTCTGGTAGACAGCACTGCATCTTACACCGCAGGTTAGTGGCGAAAAAGTTTTTTTTTCTTGGATTAAGTGCATTAGTGGCATGGTATAAGAGCCTCCTTTAATGATAAATATATACGTAGAGCGTCAAATAAACAAGCAGCTATGTGGAATGTGATTAAAGCCAATGGTGTGCAATCATCAAAATCCCATTCGTCTACCGTCAACGCATTGCTGAAACCATTATTGCTGAAATTCCAGCTACCCAGTCGAACTTCAAAGATTTTATTCAGACTAGTGATAACTACATTTCGCCTTGCGAACTGTTTCATTCAATGACGTTCGAGACGCAATCAAAAGCTTAAAGAATTCTAAAAGTAAAGATCCTGATGACATGGACGTTAAAATTATGATGACCTTCAATAACTTGATAGCATATCCTATAACAAAATTGATAAACATGTGTATAGAAAATAAT